ACACCCTATTCTACCTTACTCAACACAAAATAGCCAGAGACAAGAAGACCTTGTTGTAAGCCGCTTGTTGAAGTGGTCCAGGAGGACAGACCACTCACGATTAGCCGCTCCATCCATTCACCCTAAGCATCAAATTTCAACACCCCGATGCTGCAAGTCGACGGCTTCTGCCACACCTCGATATATTGAACTTAGATCCAAGCCTTTCAAATCACTCGGTAAACCCATCTCGGGACCGCATTGGCACTCATCAGCATCAACCCATCACCTCGGCAGAATATCTTGGTCAGACCGTTCAAAAGAAACCCAGCAACTGCCTAATATCTCAACATCTCTGGCCCCCAACTTCACCCTCCTCTCTAAAGTCCCATCTGCGCCTTGGTCCACACAACTGACCCACCCGCTCGCTGCCTTGTCTCGGCAAGACAATTCAGACTTTCAGAGTTGTCTTGGCTGTGTGTACTTTCTTTTGGCTGGCTGGGTACTCTCCAGGAGCATCAAGTGTCACAGGTTGGGTCCTAGCCGCAGAGCCCCTCCTGCTACCAGCTTGATCGATATCCACACCTCCCATATTCCATCAGCTGGGCCACGCCCCATTCATGATCCAACCGTCTTTTGGTTCACGTTCCCCGACATTCTATCTTTTCCTGTTCAGTCTGGGGAACAATTAACAAACATAAATCTGGTCATAATTGCAGTCTTTGGATCACTCCAAGAACTGTATTGCTTCAATTCCATTGACGAAGCAATTCTGCAAGACCTTATACACAATACCCCATTCAACAACTATCGCGTCTCTTTGTTTCCCACCGCGCCAACCATCGCGCTCCCGACAAGCGCCGGCCGCATGTACGGTCCCCTCCATAACAACTCAAGGCAGCTAACCAGGACAGGTAGCAGGCAGGTAACAAGGTAGCAAGCTTCCGAAGCCAGCTCACAGCTACCAGAGGTGGCATCAAAAGAATAGCTTGAACGCTGCTGTCTGCTTATTCGTGACCTGACTCTCGCAGTAACAAAAGCTACAATTGAGTACCTGACCCATAACACCCCGATGTAGCAGGGCTGCGAGAACAAGGGACCCGGTCTCACGAACCCCTGTCAAACTGGCGTCTGTCTGTCTGCCTTAGTCCGTTGTTGCAACCGCTGGTGCTCCAGCTTTTGGCTCTGCCTGTTTCTTTAAACCTTTCCCCTCCATTCTAACCATTCTCTCTCTTCGGTTCGGCTTTTGGTGAGCTGGTTTTGTTGGACGAACTTGCTTGCTTGCTTCATCGTCGGAGTATCATTGAGCCCTTCATTCAGCATTTGGACCTTCTGTTGGTTTCTATTTATTCAATCTTTCCTTATTGCTGTTCAACTGGATCAGACTAGTTACGCAGCCTCCCGATCTTAGCACACTCGATTTCATAGGTCTCTTAACCGGCCGCGCGACCGCACATCGACCACCAACCGACAAGCTCATCTTTTATTCTTTTGCCGTCACGACAGCTGTTGGTAATCTCGAACCTGTCTCCTGTATCAGGTTTCAATCATCTGTCAACCTTGGGACAGCTGCATCGCAAGGCTTTCTTGCGTCGACGCTTGGTTGGAGCTGTAAATTGTTTTAAGGTCCCCTCTGCCATCGGAGCTCTCAACTATCACCGTCAGGGTAGCTCAATACCACTTAGAAACTCCACGTTCTCGTCATGGCCCTTGAAGCCCCTTTGAGGTCATCGACTGGAAGCCTACCATTCCCTTTCGTTTACCCTCAGACAGACATGTCTGCGCCCACGGAGAATGAGAGCCGTCGCTCTCCATTCAGACCATTGTATGTTGCCTTGGGAGCTATGCGCTTAACGCGAAACCTCTTGGAATCTATATTAACCAATGTCTCAGCTCTTCTCCTCCTCCTGCTACCGATTCGTCCTCGCTTCGACCCAATTCTGCCAATCGCATGTCAAGTAGCTCCTACAATGTCATGAGTCCCAGTGACATTGTGGGTCCTTCTCCAGTCACATCTAATGGTACCGAAACGACCGAGATCGAGGACGATGTCTCAGAGGATATTGAGAAGGAAGTTAGTGACAGAAAGGCTACTCGTCGTTCGGAGGTCAGTCACAATGGGCACCGCCGACATCTTGGGCTATGAATTAACTTAAACACAGCTCTTAATGCTCACAACTAACTTGCCGGAGAGTGTACGCCAGTCTGGCAACGAGGAGGCTATTTCTGTCATTCATGCACCAGAAAGTTTTTCCAGCTGGGTAAGTTTCATAGTCATACTAGATACGACACATTTAACACCTTTCAGGCTGCTCCAGCTGCCGCCGCACCTCCAGCCATGGAGCACAGAGGGCCAAGTCCAAGGACATCTCCAAAATCAGAGGCTGAAAGCTTAGTCTCTCTCAATGGCGGACAAGAGAAGGTCTGCTACCCTCCAACTAAATTTATACCACCTACTAAACGGTCATCAGACATCGACTCATCCCGTTCGACCTCCGATTCTAACCGATGTGAACCCTGTGCGGTACAGCATCGACAGTGCCACACCCCGAGCACAGGACCTGCAATCCATGCTGGACGATGGGGCCCGACTACGCTCGAGTAGTACGAGTAGTCTCGAGAGTAAGTAAATATTAGTTTCGTCGCCGGATCTGGCTAATCTATGTAGAAATTGACGAACAAACCGAGGCTGAGGGTGACGACGAAGACTATGAATCAGAAGCCATGCCGATACCACAGCAACAAGACGAGATTGAGACTCTACGAACAACTCTTGCTGAATGCTGGACCTTGTGCAACAGTTTGTCTAAGCTCAGTTCAATCAATCGTAACCGCGCTCTTGGCAAAAATGGCATTCCTGATGCCCACGAAAAAGCATGGAGGACATGCTGGAAACTTTGTCAGCGGCTCTATCACAGTCGAGATGAGGACATGAGCAATTTCAATGTCAAGGTCAACCTTGATTTGTGTCGCGATTTCTGTCAAGCGCTATTCGATGTCCGGCAGCGTAATGATGAAGCCGCGGACTCGGTTTTGCGTGTTAGCTTTGAGCTCAACAACCAGTAGGTGGCATCAAATAAGTGATGGATCTTACTCTAACAAGTTGGCAGCCTCTATAGTGCTCAGGATGGTACCCTACCGGAGCAGTTCCGAGAACGCACACTGGACTTCTATATCGCGCTTTGTCATCGACTAATGAAGCAACGGAGTGATCTGGCCGAGGAAACCGATCAGTTGCTCAGGGCCTGTTGGGCACTTGCAGAGATGCTCTTCAATCTCAGGCAGAACAGAAGGGATGGAAGACCTCCAGATGAGGAGCTGCTGAGCTCTACTGTCCAAGCCTGCTGGGAGCTATGCGATGTATTCCGAGACAGCTGGACACAAGTTCGACCTGATAGGGGAACACCTCGAGCCGGACACGCATTCCCTCAGCATCTTAATGATCAGAGCGGCCGACAGAGTCGAGGGTCAAACCCATCTTCAGTCCATTCGAGGCATGATAGTGTCAAGAGTGGGCGGCAGGAAGAGAAACCAAGAAACCCAGCTGTTCCAGAAACCCCTGTGACCGAGTTCGAAGACACGCCCATCTCTCCACAGAGTCGTTCGCCAACAATGCCCAACATTCTTGTCCTAGGCACTCCTAGTGATAATAGCCGCGGTCGGTGGTCGAGTAGCGCGTCCAATCTTTCCAGCTACTCAAAGAGCAGCACCAGGACTTCAAGCACAGCCACCACTACAGCTGCATCAGAAGATGCAAACGTGACGCGTGCAAAGGTACTCGTTCTCCGAGCTGCTATGAATCTTGGCTTCAACCGTGATACCATCCATGAGCCTAAAGCCGCTGCTGCTGCATTACAGAAATTTGTGCAGGATCTTCCTCCTGGATCGTTTGGGTCCCTCATTTCTCACTCAACATTGCTATCACAGTACAAAAACTCCGTCCTTACGGATGCCATAATTCCAAGACATCACGCCTTGCCAGCCCGAGGCAAGCGCGTTACTGCCCAGGAGATGGCCAAGAGCATTCAGATGATGATGAAGAGTTCACAGCGGTATGCATATCTCCGAGATCTCTTCAAGGTCGTTTTCCAATTCCCGGTTGAGGAGGTCGACACCCGTCGCAACGTCAGCATTGTGGTGTAAACATACTATTCAACCATATTTATAACCTTCTATTTCGACGCAATGGTTGCGTCGAATTACTTACCCATACTTATGCCACGTTACGTCTAATGTTATTATTTCATACTGAAGAGTGTTTGGGAGTCGGGTCACAAGGATTTAAGGGACTATTCTATGCCAGCATGCTTACGCACATATCACAATTTTTGTATCGGAGATTGGGGAGGCATCCTGAAGCGATTTATGCGGGGGTCTGTTCGTTTCTACTTGCACGAGATACCCTGTTGTAAGGCTCTAGCGGGCGAGTTGATGATATGAGAGAGCTGGAGGGTAAGGCCAGAAATATTTGGATAAATCAATTTTCCAAGCTTAACTATATTATGATGCTATGGTTTATTGTATGACGAGTGGATCGAGATAAGTGCAAGCTATTTAATTCGTTAAACTAAGGGACCTAGGAACTAGGTATCCAAACTGAGTCTCTGCTTAGGTATTTAGCTCTGTGGATTTCAGCTTGGGCATCAACTCTAACACATGCGGCAGGCCTATACGCCTCGTGATATGCATCAAGTCCACAGCTTTGAGGAACCGGTTTCAGAACGCTCAGCTGGTGGTTTTCGCCAAACGTATGACTCTGCCTGTGGACAAGTCAAACAAGGGAAGACGAATCACTGCCTTGAGCAGCGACAAAGAGGCCCAGGACTATCACAGAGAAGAGCTAAGGTGTTTGAGGGATCGCAAGTCCCCATGGACTGGGTTATGTCAAGTATAGTATACAATGTGGGACAGTTCAGCCACCACCTCAGGAGTACGACTTGGCGATGATCAACTTCAGATCCCGGGTGGCACTGAGCCCCTTGGGATCGATCGTGTTCACATTGATTCCCATAGCCACCACTCTAGTTCTTGGAGTCGTGTGAGGAACCTGCTTTGGCAGCTTTGTGCTCGTTGCTGTCGTCAGAAGTGCCCGAAGCAGCAGATTGCCTACGATCTTGTGGGATTTTCTGCTCTGAAGTGTCCTCATCCTGATCTTGTGTTGGTTGCGGTTCGCTTTGTTCAGCCGCTTGCTGAGCTGGTTCGAAGTACTCCTCACAATACACCGGGGCAACATCATCTCGTCTGGGCCTCTCAGACACCTGCTCCTGCTTATGCTCTGCAGTGTGTGATACCTGCCGAGGATACATGAAGTCGGAAAGCTGAGCAAAGTTGGATAGGGGCATTTCCATCTTGATGGACGGTGAGTGTTGGGTAGCGGAGGGCTCCTAGACTCCGCCTCCCACGAACACGGTCTGTTGCGGAGATGAGACTGGCGGGTGAGAGCCAGCTATTGGGTGCTGTCGCAGATAAGAGGCATATGAAGGCTGGGCGTTAGGTGACAGATGAGGTGTCTGGTACAGTGCAGCTTTACAGCTCTCAGGACTTCCCTGCTCTGCTGACTTGATTTGGTGTTGGCCAAAATGAGTGTTAATCGGGGAAAAGTTGGCGTTGAAGTTTGCGCTCGCTTGAGTCTGCCAGGAGTCAGCTAAAGGCATATGCCCCAAGCCAGCCTGAGCTGGTGCTCCTGAGAAGAGGCTATATGAGTTTGTCGGTGGTGAACGAAGGTTTCCCATCTGAGCCATTGGTGCTGCGTGGAACAAGGGGACAGAAGACGGGCTGGGGGATTTTATGTCTTCAAATTTGACTGGTGATTGCGATGGAAGGGATCCAAATTGGTATGGGGGTTGTTGAGAAGGCCCTGCTGAAGCTTTGAAAGACCCTTGGCGAGCTCTCTTGGCTTCAGCCGGTGATCCTCTGTTTCTAAGGTTAGAGAGATACGTGGAAAGGGACATCGGGGCGGTATTCGCAACGTACTCTGAGCCTGGGGAAGCGGAAGAACCAGCTCCAGAGTCAGATCGACGTTCCTTTCGTTTCCTGGATTGCTTGTTGCAAAGGGGAGCTCTACGAGCAAAGATGAATGGGTTAGTTAATTTCAAGAGCAAGAGGCAAGGCCCTTTTTGGCACAAGACAACTCACCCATAGTCAGGATCCTTGCCATATTTGTTCCTCAAATATCGAATCTGGTTGTCTGTCAGTGTTCGGTTGAATCGTTCCCGAAAAGCGTTAGAAATCGCATCGTTGTAGAAATCCTTCTCCATGAGGCTTAAAGCAAAGCGTATCTCGTCAGGTTTGTAAACTGGTTTTCCGGTCATCTTGAAAGAAGTAAGAGAATAAGCAAGATGTGGAACAAGTGTTGAAGGTGTCGAGTAGTCTAAAGTGCAACTGTCCAAGAAATGTCTAAGTTGTCAGCGATGGTGAGTGTTGTGAGGTTGAAGGTGATAGACGGTTGAGTAAAGGTTGTTATTCAGGGGAAATAGAAAGACAATGAATGTCTGAGCTTGATGTTAAGTAGGAAGGAACTCGTTGGCCAATCACGATTCAAGGTTAATCAGCGTCGTTGATTTGAGGCTGTGATTAGGAGCTCGAGTTGTAGATTTAGATTAGTTGCGAATCAACAACTGGCACTGAATCCTGACGTAGCTTAAACGTGGATGAAATTGTGCAATTGGATAAAAGAGAGTATATCAAGGTTGATGATCATCAATGCTTTGATAGAGAAAGAAGAATATGTTTTGTTGTATGTGTAGAGAAAAGCAGCTTTTGGAAGTGGTGTTGTGGTGTGTTAGCGTAGAAGTGGAGAAGAAGAGAAGAAGCAGAAGCGTAAAAGAGGGAGAGGAGGGTTCCTTATGAACTACTTCCTAGAGCAGCGTCTGCTGATTGTTCATGACTCAAACAGTGCAATTGCTTGCATAAAATCATTAGTCTCTATTGTGGCTATGGCTTCCTCACTCGCTCAGTGTCTATGTCTAAGGCAGTTCGTCTGATATTTTCCATCGTATATATCAACTTCGTCTCTTCTTCAAGCAGCTGACTCCCCCTTTCTCTATTAATCACTGGGTCCAGTGGCCAGTCAGAGAGTGCTATATGGGTGCTGCATCACCGACTTGAGTCGGCGGTGAGCCACCACGGCTGAAGACACCCAGCCAGCACCGCACATTTCCCGCGTCATCGTCCTCAACCCAGTCGTCCTGTCCCGCAAGTTCGTCCTCTTCCTCACAGAACAAGGGGGTGTCGAGGTCAAGCATAGCCTGGCGGAACGACTCGAGGAGGCGCTCTGTGGTGGCATCTCGACGCGGGACCATGACGACAGCGCGTGAATCGGAGCCAAGAGCAAGGTGGTCGCTGATGGCTGAGGCGAGAAGCGCAGGGTGTTCATCGTCGTACATGGGATCAGCCGCGAGGACAATCTAGTCACCAGGGGGGTCAGACATCGTTTGTAAGCAAGAGTCATATAAGCATCGCCCTGCAATCGCAATCACAGATCTCTACGAGCAAAAACATACCTTGAACTGATTCGGCTGCCCAAACAGGGTCTGATCGACCTCGTCTTGGCTCCCTCCCCAGGTGAGATCGCCGACTGTGAGTGATCCCCCGCGAGACTTGACAAGCTCAGTGTTCTTGGCCACGTTCTCTCTAAGATTTGGAACGATGTTAGGAAGATCGCTGAGTGCTACGGGGACTTTCCATAGAGCTGCTGCGGCAAGACCCAGGAGGCCAGTCCCAGAACCGAGTTCGAGGACATCAGGTCGTGGTTGACCCAACGTCTCATCGAACAATCGAAATAGTGATGTCTCGGCCATGCGAGGAAGATGCTGCGATAGCACATACGAAGACCCCCAGGTCTTGAAACCCAGAGAATCTCCGGTAAGCGCCGGTTCTCGAATGATCAACTCGAACTCGTCGTTTCCCTCTCCAAAGGGCCATCTGCGAATAACCTCTCCCATGGCCGTACGTCCACACCGCTCCGACATGCGCTTGCTTGCCTGCGTCCAGAGAACCTCCTTCTCATCATCGTCGTCGATCCATGACAAGGGGCTCTTGATGATAGAGGAGAGATATCGAGTAACTTCTGCCTTGCGCTGGCTGGCAAGAGATTCCTGCTCCTCGAGGATCTCGGAGCGACGACGCTTGTGGTTCCATATTGGAGGGCTAAGTTCGAGACTCTGGAGAATGCCTGCTAGTTGAGTGTAGCTGGGACGTTCCCACATTTGGGGGAAATCGAGTGCTTCGACACCCATGATGATGAGCCTGAGTATCTGTTTTCTACACTTATTGGCCAGTTATCGTGAGGTCAACTCAGAGGAATAATCAAAGTGAGAGAAGGAAATTGTCGGTGTGGCAAAAAAAGAAAAAAAAAAAAGAAAAAAGAATTCAAGAGTAACAAGTTCAGAACAGAACCAACTGTTCAACATGCCCTCAGCAAGAACACAAGACTACCTGTATGCTACAGAGCATATCGGAGACACCTCGAGTCTAGAACATAGTCCCTGTTCACTAGGATTTTTTACAATGCAAAGGAGAAGTCCGGGGGGAAAAGAACGCTATTGTAATCCACACATTGTCTCGTCTACTGGCAGCAAATAGAAAAAATTGTTAACAAGAGACAAAAAAAAAGTTATGAATTTTTGGCTAACATCTAATTGGGTCAAGTCTATCTTCCTATCATAGCTCGTGAGTACCTGGGTACTAATGTATCAACGTTGGCGTTCAAGCCACATCATGCAGTATCGCACCGCCACAGCCACGCTCGAATGAGTGATCGGCATGGCCCACGTGGCTGATTGACCAGGGGAAAGGGAGCTATGAACCTCAAACTCCACCGTCTTCCCGATTGGTCGCCCTAGCAATCAATCAATCAATGTCTGTACTGTACAGTGCATCTATCTCATCCTGGCGACATGGTAAACTCCAACCAAACAAACACATAAAGAACATCCCGACAAAGGAGACAAAAGAAAACAACTCTAACAACTTAAGCGACCTCTCTTCTTATCGTTAGGATCACCAAGGCTCGCCCTTCTCCCATCCCACAAACAAATGTCTCAGAACAGGCCCCTCCGGATCGGCATAAACACGGGCATTCTTGAGCTCAACAGCTAGAAATCGACAAGTTTGCCAATCGCTCATGACCTTGCCTGACAATCTGACAATCTCATCGCAAGCACTCTTAAGAGCTCTGTAGCTGAAGTCGAATCTGACGTTTAGGTCTGCGTTCTCCAGCCAAGGCGTCGCAATGGCGGTCTCAACCTGACGAAGCAAGAGTGTAATGCTCGCCTTGGTAGATGTAAAGTTCTCACGGGTAGGGCTATCGCGAGATCGGGTCCAGTCATTCCAGAGCCACTGTAGAAGTGCTTCATTGGAGGTGTCGTGGCCCTGACGTTGATGCTCACGAGCAAAGTCCATGAGCTGCGTGTTGTAGAAGATGCCAGCTTCGTGAAGAAAATCCGAGAGCTGCTTCAGAGCGATGCGTGGTGGGAGGCGATCCACAGGCTGAGCAGGGTGAGCGTCTTCGTAAGAAGCATAGCTTTTGGTTGAACCTTCGCTTTCGTAGGTCTTTGAGTACCGGGACGCACGGCGACGATGACGGCAGCAGCCAGGAACGAAGATGTTTGTTGCAGCTGAAGAGGGAGGATACATTTGACTGTAGTCTTCAACCATGCGAGCAGGCAAGTTTCGGAACGGATCTTGAGTCTGAGGAGGGTGGACAGTGTAGACATATGTTGGGTCTGGGGAGTAAGCTCCAGGAGGCGCCTCTTTGACGAATTGGGATCGTCTGGATGTCATTGTGGATGATGGTTGTTGCTTTGACTGAGACTGAGACTGAGATTGAGACTGAAGTTGATGAGAAAGCCAGAATCAAGATGCTCACATCTGGGCTGATATTTATACATCTTCAAGACAAGTTTGCCTGTGGGACATGGATGTGTTGGTGAATTATCCCCTTCTTCATTCAATGTCTTTAAGATGCGTTGCCGCATACAAGAGTTCATTGTCTATCTCTACAGTATTCAAACAAACTCCTTTTAGCAACGGCCAGTCGCATAAACGGCACAAAGACTAAATAAAGCTCCGTGCTACGATTACTACGCAGTCTCTGCCTTGACATTTCTATGTGCTCTACAGCCCCATTCTAAACTGGACATCCATGATCAGCCGCTATTTGCTAATCCCTCTTCTTTATTCGGAGGGTCCTGTCCTGAATCAGCTCAACACACAAATACGGACGGCCCCCACCAAACTCAAAAACTCAAGAGACCAACCAATGCAACCAACCCTCTCAGCATCCATCCATATCAAACCTGAGGACCCAATCTGGTAAATCCATAGGTAAATCACGCACCCCCATCACATGCGCCTCACGTCATAGTACCACTTCATCTTCCCATGGACCCAGCTATCGTTGTCACTATTGACTGATTTTACTCTCGACTGGGCCAGGCTCTCAACCAAACACCAGGTTTCTTTTATCACTCAATGTTGTGTATATGAATATCACGGTTTCAATTTCAACATTTGCTGTATTGTATTGTTTGGCTTTTGCCTTGCCTAATCTAACTGCCTGGCTTGGCTTGGCTTTGTCTCTGGCCGCGTTTGGCCTATCTTGTCTTCTCATGTGGTATCAAAAAAAGAAAAAGAAAAACGATGCAAATATCAAAGAGAGCTCCTTTCCTGTCCGACAGGTGGCTCGTTTATGCAGATCCTGTTTTCCCAATGCAAAATGCAACTGTAAAAGTTATCCGGTCGTGATGCTGTACGCCGTTGAAATCAAACACCCACACCCTCCCTATCTTGTCCTTGTTCTGTCGTATTATTGCCGCCTTTTAGCTCCTCTCTGGGGGACATTCGCTGTAAATCTCCATCTTCATCGTTTTCAGTCGGTCTCTCATTTCCATCAAATGGCCCAGTTTCCTGCTTGAAGGATTGTCCAACGCTGAAATCTCATGGTGCAGCGTCTCATACTTTTGATAGAATAACTTGAATGCCTGTGCCTTCTGCACAAGATCGTCAGAGAACCTTGATGCTGCAGGTCGCTTCGTGACACCACCCTTGTTGAATCCTTCGACCTTGCGCTTCTTCGCAACAATTGATGCAGCGGGTGCCTCATTCTCCAGATCCGAGGCATTCGTGGGTGGCGATGATGCCAGGGGAGAAGACTTCGTCGGGGACGTGTTCTTGCTCTTCATCGAGGTTGAGGTTATCGTTCCGCGAGAGTTCTGGCTTGCGTCCGATGGTCGATGCTTAAGTCGGGGGGCAGGAAGAGGCTGCTTGGGCTTGATGCGCTTCGACAATGGTGTTCCAGAGCTGGAGCTTGAGTCGTCGTCCTCGCGAGGTCGCTTGGCCGTAATCTGCTGCTTCATTGGCTCCCTTACCACAGGTCGAGGTTTGGCGACGACCGTGTCTCTCATCTTGGGTGCCGGTTTAGGCGCCGCCTTTGGCTTAGGCTTGACCATAGGAGCAGCAGCATCATCTTCTGAGGTGTCTGAGTTAGAAATGATGGCCTGCGATAGAACCCTTCCCCCATTTGCCTTGGGCGCGGCGGTCGGCCGTGCCTTGGTGGGAGATGCTTTAGCAGAAGACACCTTGGATGTCGGCTTGGAGGGTGCAGCTGATACAGTCGTCTTAGCCTTGGATTTACCCAAAAGACGCTTGACCTGGGCCTCCTGTGCAGTGGGTTTCTTGGGCTTAGTAGAAAGAGGGTTTGAGGTGGACCTTGACATAGCCTCTCCTCCTGCCCTTGGCCGGTTGGCATCCTGAGAATCTCCACTATCTCGAGGCGTTGTGCCTCCATCCGCCATTTCAACATTGATTGACGGGGTGCTGACAGTCTTCGTGATCTTGGCCTGCACTCGGCTAAGACTCTTGCCGGTTCCTCGCTCCTCCTTGGGTAGGAGTCTGTCCCACTCTGGCTCTGAGATGGTAACTCTCTGCTTGTCATATTGTCGAACAGCGTTGTCAATCGCTTTCTGTCGTACTTCTTGGGTATCATAATCATAATTCCAAACATCGAGGTCTCTCCAGGACTTCTTCTTCAATGACCATTTGTTGTTATCGTCGAGATCATCAGCAACCTTTCGAAGCGTCGGCTCCATGTCTTCCATCTTGCCTTCCCACTTCTTGGACAGGTAATCAAATGAGCGATCCTGCACAGCGAGCTCATGCACCAGCATGGCTCGGTCTCCCTTGGCTCGGTCAAGGGGCTGTGATGTCGTAGGGTTGGGTGTAAGTGACCCGAGCGAAACTTGACCTGGTGACTGGGGGATCGATCGTGGAGTTGAGTCGAGCAATTTGCTTTTGCTCTTGATAGCTGCCTTCTTCGCGGGTAATCTGTCGACCACGCGAGTCCTTCAAAACATGTCAGTATGATCATCCTAAAACTATATGCAAGTGAGACCGACTTCTCCCGAGAAGCAGCGTGAGCCGCAAGTCCATTTTGAAGAGTCTCGATATCAGAATCTCGTCCTGATTGGGCGCTCTTGCTGGACTTTGCGGTCTTGCCGTCAGTGGTGTTGTCGGCCTTGCCAGTCTTCAATTTCTTCGAAGTAGCGCCCGATGGCTTTTCAAAGAGAGAGCCAGTGTGTGGTATCTTTTCAGCAGTTCGTGTCGATTCGAAAGGTCGTGTGAGGTAAAGATCGTATGGGTTCGAGTCGGAGGGCGGCTCAATGGCGTGGGACTTGGAACCAAAGAGCAAGGTCTGGCACAGGCACATTAGCATTCGAAATCAGGAGCCAAATGACTAGTATTGGATCCGTGTGACAAGAGGTTCCGTGAACTTACAGGATTGGCTCCAAGAGAAAGTTGAATGCCATCTCCGTTCTGGACGCATTTGATCATGTCCTCAATAACATTGTCACTCAAGGTGACTGCAAAAGCCTGGGAAGGTAGGCTGGCATCCTTGCCAGTCGAGCCCTCCAGCTGCAGCCCGCTTTCGGGGACCTTGAGCGAGTTCATACTGGAGGACATCACGAGCCTCTGTAGGCCGTGGGGTGGGAAATGTCGCGGAGTTGAATGTTGTGTCGATAAATGTAGAAGCTGGGCGGAAGTGTGACGTTGGATCGTTCGGTTTCGCAGGTTGAAGATGAAGAGGAGAAGTTCGAAGAACCGTAGCTGAGGAAGTAAGGATTCGTCAATGTGCAATAGTTGGAAAAGAAATCGTGAGGAGCGTTGTCACATTGTCATCCAACAAGGTGAGCTGAGAGAGGCCGCTGTTTTGATGAGATAGGCGTGAGAGGCTAGGCATATGGGGGCCGTTCTCCGATTCAGGAGGACAAAGGGGAGCGCCAGATGGTTTTGTCACTGACAGGCAGTGCAAAGAACCCAACACCTCAAAGCACACAAAGAGTCTCTCCAACGCCCTTTGTGATTTGCAACTCTCGTCGAGAAGCAAAAAACAAGTTGAGGGAGAAAGTTGTTGGAGGGCGGAGATGATGAGGGAATGAGAGCGGCAGCGGCGAGCCCAGGTCAAGGACGGGAGACGAGGGTGTACCAAGGTACTGCGTGCGGAAGGAACTGGGGGGAGGTACCCGTGCCTGCCTGTCTCTCTGCTACCTTACCTCACCAGCAGCAGACCAGCAAGCAACCAAGCAAGCACGTCTGACCTTGACCTTACCTGACGGGCGGGAGTGGGTGCGGCCAAACAGGGAAGTTGACCGGGGTGGACAGTACAGCACAGCACAGCGAACAACACAGCGCAGCACAGTACCAAACTTGGGGTCCGACAGCACAAAACACCGATAGACAGCACCATCACTCAGCAGGGAGATGCTGTCTCTGCCCGAGGTGCCAAGATACCCGCACGGTACGCTACGGAAATTCATCCGGGGTGAGAGTACTTGGCCACTACTCAAGGCTCTATAGTGGTCTCAGTGATGAGAAGCCGACAGGAGGGCTGTGTCTCAGTGGCCTCTCAGAGCTCAGAAGCACTGCAACTCAATCTCCTACAGCAGCAAACTCAAAATCATTTGCTGGACCAAATGTTCCTTTTCTGTACACAAATATCTTCAGCTTCGCTAGCGTGCACTGGGCCGTGGCTGCGGTGGCGTGCCTGATGGTGCGCCTGATGGTGCATGTGGAAGAGTCAGCCGGTCAAGGTCCCATCAGGGGTAGAGGCTAAGTACTGCCCTTGAGCTCTAAGCCACTATAGAGCTCTACAAGCTGCCCTGTAATAGCTTCGGGTCACGGTTGAGTACTTCATAACGACATTCACGGCGAAGAGCGGACCAAGTATCACGAAGAGGCCCACAGCGACCGAGTGAGGTGGTGGATGCATGCAGGGCGTTGTGCTAGTCGAGTAAACTCGTCCCAGAAAAGCGAAAAGCCAAAGGGTTCCTCCCGTCCCGTTCGCCGGCCTCTGGAAGATGTTTGTCTCTCTTTGAGGTATTTGAACATGAACATGGGAGCAAGGATTCTTTCAACGTGAAGCTGGGAAGATGAGAGAAAGGACGACAGGCGAGACAATGGTGCTCTCCAGATTGTCGCATATTGTTTGTTTTCCCGATCCAATTGGTTGTCAGATCGCCAGCCCAGAGAAACGGGACTCGACGGGCTGGATCCAGCGGGCAGGTTGAGCTACGAGCCTAGCGAACGAACGGCCCATTATGAAGTCTGGACGACCCATGGCAAGACATCAAGGGCTCGGTATGGGAGTTTACGGCGGATCTGTCATCCGGCCGGGGGTATTCTGGTTGTGGTTGTGGTTGTAGTCGTAGTCGTAGTCGTGGCCGTGGCCGTGTCCGAGCCGTGGATGGGATGGATGGATGAGCATCCCATCCCATCCCATCTGATCT